CTGTATGCAAATCACATGCGCACACACGCATGCATGTATGTGGCCACAGGCACTGCCTGCTTCCATTGGCTTGTTTAATCCCCCACTCTTGCTCCTCCCCACCGCCCCTTCTCCTCCATTCGATTCGTTCTTGATCTTTCCCTACGTGGCTGCTCCCACGCTAAGTTGTAAGGCATGCAAGCCTGGATGATTATGATAGGCCTAGGAAGCCAGTATCTTTAAACTGAAATGAGCAGGTCGTCATTCCACCTCTAGGACTGCTGAATCATTGGATGGTATGAGTAATCCTTCTCATAGATGACTTGATTTCTTTCTTCGTCGGTGACCACGAGGCAGGGCATGATACAGGGGTAGTTGGTAAGCTGTGATTCTGCTCAAATTGCTCATCTGTTGTGGGTGTCTGCAGGCAATGTAGCTCTTCTACGACTTCACGCGCTGCATCTGTTCCATCCACATTTGATAGAGCTTCCATGCAAACCTAATGATCGGGTGTATAGCATCGAAATCATTCCTGAATACTTGTGAATCCAATTCTAAAAGTAGCTCCATTTTTAACCCATGGCTCGGGATTGGCGTGGGCAGAGCTATAACCCTCCGATGTGGAGGTTCAATTAAGGTAACTTTAAGAGACTAGGTAAGCTTTCATTTAAGTAAAATAAATACCATTCCATACCAGGGTTCATTGTCACCTTGGTTCATTTCTCTTCTTCCAATGCCACTATCTGGATAATCCGTTCACGCATGCACACTGGTACGCACAAATGCAAGGAAAAGGGTGCAGGCATTAGTCATCATTCAGTGTGCATTCCTGATCCCTGACATTTGAAGGCTTTCCAATTATCTCAACTCCCATTTCTGCACACGCCGGTATACACTCCCAGAAATGCAATTACATCCAAATCTCGGCCGCCAATGCATACAGAGTTGTCCTCTTTCAACCTTCTCTGTCGCCACTTTTGCCAGTTGGTTGCGATCAAGTTCGTCTAACAGTACTTGAGAGTACCTCATCTGTAATACTCAAGATCAAAGTTCCGGTTTCCATTCAATACATTGCTTTGATAAGGGTGTACTCTAGCATGAATTTGCCATCTCAAGGGTAATCCATTCATAACGATGCCGCGGCGGGGTGAAAGCATTTGAGTGGTTTGAAATAGTTCGCATGTTGGAATCTCATTATTTGGTAATTAACTACACGACCATTGAGAGCTTGTGGAATTAGTCAACTCTGACCTGCTATCTACACCCGTAACTGGTTATCATTTGTGGTTGAACAACATAAAATCTCAAAGTTAGGGGGAGTTGATTATAATTAGGTCGTAGTGATAGTCATAAGGATTATCGTTTAATTAACACAAAGTACTTTTCTAAAACAAGTGACAAGTAGACACTTGAATGACTTTTTCACTGTCAAATGTGTAAGCGCACCCATGACCCATGTCGTATGCGATTGACAGCTGCAAGTTGGGTCACATGTGCCGCGCATTAAAATTGAGGGTATCCCACTGTCACTGCTAAATTAGTGATTTGCATCGAATCTTGCGGCTGCTGTTGAATTGGTAAATGTGTCGCCTTGCATAACCATGTCGTCACCCGCTTGACACTCATCCATATGATCTACCCTCGTGGCACTTTCAATTTCTTATGTAACTGACTCATTTTTGGGATCAAATTTGCTTGGTAGCGTGAAATTTCTCATTTGGTCGACGTGTCCTGTGAATACGTGCTTTCAGTAGCTAGTCAAACCCGTTGATGTTTCTCTCTCTCCGCCTGGACCTTTGAAAACATGACTACTAGCTTTGGAGCCATTCGAAGTTTCACATGAACCGCTGTGAGGCAACCGATATTCACAAATTAGCAACAATTTCTCGATGATTGATAAGCATAACGCTTGAGCCTCACTGAGTTGACGAAGGTAATGCCTCTGTATCCCCTGATTCCATGTAATGTTGACTTGTAGCTTCTTTGATACCTAGAATGTCGCGCATTGAGGAACTTACCTCAGTGGATAATGTCGCCGTACCCCCTTTGAGTGTCTACCAAAAGCGCCATTCAATGAATGCTGGTGTGTTTCTAACTATTTGGTGTTATTACACACTCCCATGTCACACATTCAACCTCTGTAAGTCGAGTTCCGTGTGTCTCTTACTTTGTTAGCGCAAAATTGAGCATTTTTGCTAGTTAGTTATATTCTACTTTCACTTCCCCCCTGCCGATTTATTTCAAATGACCCATCGAGATGGATGGATGGGTGGATTGATGGATCCACTTTTATGCCCACATTACCTTTCTCCCTGATCAGCTTGGGTCCCTCTTAAGCAATTGATCAACAGTCCGACACCTTATTTGACCTACCTCTCGGTTCGCAATGGGGCAGATGTAAATCACAAATCGAAGTCAACGTGGCAGTAACGTATCTTCGAGGTTAGATGAAAAGAAAGTCTGTAAAGATCAAAGGGGTAGCACCGAGAAAGGTTTAAATCTCGTCGAGTTAACTCTTCACCTTCCAATCCCGTATTTACTACTCTTTGTGAAGTTCTAAGCCTGCGGTGATGCCGTCGCAGCCCATGTGACTAGTTGTCAAAAAACTTTTGCCACCTCATTTGGTTATTTGCTGACAGGCATGATGGCTCACACATCTCCCATCCCACGTGTTTGGTCACTGTGCGTTGGTTGAATCCATTCGCGCTTACCTCCAAATCCCTGATTCCGGTTATCTATGTATAGTTCTGTGAACTCGGGATTGAGGGATCAATGCTGGCATTGATACTGATGTAGCGTTGTTTGCTTTGTTCTCTACTCCTCGTCTCTGGCCTTGTTTCAAGTAGCTCGGCATTGTTGCAGTTACTTTCGACACATCGTTATTGTCTGTACTTGGACTTAGCGTGGGACCCATTACCACGAAAGGAAATTTTCTTTCAGAACGAACGACCCAAGCGTATGACTTCACTAGCTAGTCGGGTATTTCAAGCATGGATACCTCAATCTCTCTGTACCTTTAGAAACCCTGATATGATTTATTGGACTCACCCTCCCTTGACCTAAAAATCCTCCTTAATGTTTGATCAATTGTCTCGAAGGTTTGTTCCTAAGCTTCATCAGAGTCGATGGGTAGTTTTTGGATCAAAATGTATCATTTCGAAACAAGTAGCGATTCCTCGAGAACTCCGTTTGCTTGATTTACTATAAGGGTTGGTGGGCGCATGTGTACCCCGCCACGTTTTTGACCGCAGTGAGTAGAGTCGAGTAGAGTCACATGTGTGCCTCCCACCAGGCGCCTAACCCTGCATATGCATTTGTGTGTGTGTGTGTACCATTTTGTCACCGCGAAATGGAAGTCACGATAGTTGGTGTTACACTATTATCTGCTTTGTTCTCTACACGTCGGTTTGATGGGCTGCTAACTCGTACTCTCCTGCACTCATGGCTTTTCGGTAGCACTGTTTGACCTTGATTATTTGCGTGACACGGCGAAATGTTTACGCAACCTTCCTAGTTGAGTGTATATTAGGTAACAATCCAGGTGTGTTCTGAATTATCAAAACTACATCAGTTTCAAGACCTTAGCTTTATGGAGTTATGTCAAAGTGTATTCATCCTACACGGCTGGTGGAAAACTTGAGTTCCGTTTTTTTTTTCTCCTCCATATCCATTTCTTCGCTCATTGTAATGTTAGGGCACCAGTTTCCAACTTCTCTATTTAATAATTTTTACTACTTTCGCCTATATACAGATTGTAATACCCTAAAGCGCATTGTATCTTAGGTTCTTCCAATCTTTTCTGGTTGGTTGAGGGTTTTTCCTATCAAATAATAGAGTTGTTTAAATGAGATATTTCTCCAGGTACTGTTAGGGTGATGGTCCCGATGGGAGGGCAATCGGTCTTGGTAAGGCAGGGGTTGAATTCCTGTTGGAAGTTCCCCGGATTGTACAGGCTCTCCTCCTCTACTAATCATCAGTTCGGATATTGAAGTACCACCATTACAGTCCATCACAGCGTCTTGCCGAGTTTTTCTCATTTGACTGAGTGTACGCCCAAATTTGCTCGACATTTTTTAATCCATTTCTGGATGGTCTTTGATGGATGGACAGATTTTCTTCTTTCAACTACACTTACCTTGTGGCGGCTCAGATTTCCTACCTTAAGATATAAAATTGCCTTTTCACCGACCAATCACTGACTGTTGGTGCATCCAGTTGCTTGTGATGTTTTAATCAATTTATAGTTGATTGTCATTCGTAAAAATGACAGAATTTAGGAATAACGCGCAGAAGTTACTCCAAAACGGCTTTAAAACAGTTAAAACGTACATTTAATGGTTGACTGGGTGGTTAAAAGGTCGTTTCGGAACTGAAGCTGCTACGACGTGCCAGCGGTTTCTAGACACACAAATAGGACATGCAGCTGTTTAAAAATGAGGAGACTAAGAAATTTTGAATCTTCGGCGAACTTTTTTGGTTTTTCTAACTGCAACACAAACCAGGCTTTCAAACTTGCATCCATTTTTTCGGTTAGATTTGTCTTAAGCGAGCAGAACTGTACCCGTGTATCAATCTGGTCAAGTTTAGGACACCACCTCTTGGCGATTGACAAGTGTGAGGTGACTTGAAACTCATTGCCCTTGAAGTGACCATTTGACTGCTAACGAGCCCTTCTTTTGCTACGATCAATTTTTGTTTACCAAATAATGGATGCGTGTGTACCTGGGTACTTTTTGTTATTGTCAATTGCACCTCCATCTTCTAGTAAGCATTGACGACGATTTGAAGGTGTTGTGCGAAAATTTAATCACATCTCTTCCTCTCCAGGGTGTCTTGCTAGTTTTTCGAGAAATTTCTCGCCTATAGCCACGTGAAAACTGTTTTTATTGACACCTGTATCTGCTGGGTGTTTACTACATAGTCTTATTATTATTGCTGTGTCCAGTCCTCCTCTCATCTTAAAGTAGCTTTCCTAGAGTATACTCTATTTGCTTATCTGTTTCTTTTGTTCACTTCACTAGCTCGTCTACGAATTCCTCCTTCGTTTTGTGGAGTCACCAGAATTCCAGCCCAACGTTGCCAAGCGCTACATTGATCAGCGGTTTGTGCTTCAGGTAGGCGAAAGGACAGTGCTTTTGATCACTTCTTTCCCAACTCCATGAAGCATTGCCTAAGTGAGAGGCTAAGTCCGATTCTAGGCCTGAAGTATCCTTTTTAAAAGGTAAATTTTTTAATTTTGGTGTTTCCCTTTTGAATGGTGCGTGAAACTACCTGCAAAGTGCCTAGCAATCTGGCAACGAAATTTATGTTTCGGTTTTATGAAGTGCTTCTCAAACATGCAGTTTTTCTTCTTTTTACTCTCCTCAGATTATCTTCTTTTAAAACACCTTTTATAAGAGAATGGGTAAGGCGGTATCGAATTCGTGCTTCGTTTTGTCATTCACTTGTGCTGCAAGTTAAATAAACAGGCTGCGAATGCACAGCACTCTGGAAGTGGGCTTCGGCTTTGAGATATAACCATTATTTCAAAATCTATCTTTTGATCTCGATCAAATAGCCTTTTATGTGGTTGAGTCCGTGCCAAAGTTCAGCTCTTTCTTCGTTTGTTCATTCAGTGGTGATATCACTCAAGGAAACAGCTAACGAACCTACTGCTGATGTAGGCGTTAAATCCGGACGTTTGAGCATTATCAATACCTCAAGGGTGATTTTACTTTCACCAGCATCCAAGTTAGTGCTGAATTTTTTGTCCCTAATTTTCGAATGCGGTGGTTTGAGAATTACTGCTTCAGTGAGTCTGTCATTCCGAGACAAAGGTTGGGAGGATGGGAAGAGCAGTTATGGGCTGCAGTGAAGGCAAATGCATCTCAAGATATGCATGAGGAGGCACCTTACATGATTGCGGCCTTTAAAACAGCAGATTGGTGGTCGTAATTTGACTAATTGCGATATGACCACCTATTGACAGGATACAATGAAGCAAACAGTGGAATATGAAGTCACAATCTCTTGTTTGGTGGCTCAATAGTTAGGTTTAGTTGCAACATTTGCTAGTCTACTTATTCGATTTTCTTGCGTGAAACAGACTTTCATGCATGGACTAGTCGTTGCCCCAGCCATTTTCCTGCAAGGCGTGAAAAAAGAAGCGTTCAACAAATTGTCGTCTTTGATGCCATCAAGAGGTCAACAAAGTTTTCTCGGCTTTCGACGCAGGTTGCTTCAGTGGCTTCTCTTCCTCGTGCTCCACTTTCTTTTGCCCACTTTGAACTCTCATATTCTATCAACCAAACCCAATAGATGTGGTTCGAGCTTGCCTGTTTTACGAGCCAAGCTTAACTCAGTCTCCAAGCTGCATCATCAGATGGTTTCTAATCACCTTCAGGAAGATCCTTTGCTCTCAATCTTCTCCTTACGTCTTCTTCATGCATCATAACATCTTGTGTATTTTGGCTTGCAGATGAGATTTTTGTACCTGATACCTTTGGGATGTGTGTGAAAAAGCTCTTTGGGAGATATCCAGGCCTTGCGAATCGGTCGAGATAAGGCCCTGTTTTTGCTGGGCTAAATATCGCCTCAAAGTCTGTCCGTGTGGAGAGCCCACTTTAGGATGGGAAGGGGGGGGGGTAAGGTACTGCCCCATCTTTGTCCTTCATGTTCTCTGCATATTCCTCTAACTTCCACAAATCATAGCAATCATGTTTGAAAGTAAAAGTTTTAATGACGTGTACATGTCTAAGGCTAGGTTGTTTGCCCCTCGAGACATCTCATTTGCCTGTGTCTCATTGGGAATGAAGTAGCTGGATTTTTAAGGATGTTTTCTCCAGTTATTCTATTTTTTGTGCCAAAATCACAAGAGAATATTATGTGAACTCCTGGATGGCTAATGATCCTGTAGTTATTTGGTGTGGTTTCAAATGCTAATTTGCCCATTTGAAGTAAACATTTCCATCCGTGACTCATCTCTATTACTTGAGAAGGGTCAACTCGAGCTATGCTCAAAAGAAATCTCACTTTTTCTTGAAAAAAAGGTTGTATCACCTATCATAACTATATTCATTTACTCTCTCATCATTGTTCCCTACAGTTGCTAGAACTGTTTGACAGTGAGGATCCACGGGAACGCGATCTAGTCAAGACAATCATGCACAGGATCTACGGCAAGTTCCTCTTTCTTCGTTCCTACATTCGGCGGCAGTTCAGCAACGTATTCTACAAGTGAGTAGACCGCTTTCTTTCCTTTCGAACGCGTCAATTTTTTTATCAAATTAATAAGTCGGAATAAGGCAGAAAAGGCGAGTTCTTTGAAATACTTGTATTATTAGTTGCATATATGGCCCTGATTTACTTGATAGTGTTGCTAGAACCTTATCATCTTATAAAATACCTGCTTGCAAATATGAGCTTATGTGGGGACGGGAGAGGCACTGAATGTGACTTTTGAAACCTCCTAGTTTTGTTTACTCACGTGTGCGCAATTGCCTGAATTTTTGACAAGTATGTGGCCGGACAAAACAATATCCATTCGCAGACATCAAGTGCTGCTTGTCCACGCGCTGTGGCATGGAATTTTTGACTGATTTTGATGTTTTTTGCTCAGGACCTGGATTAATCTTGAAAAATGGCATGTTCGTTTCATGCGTTGTGAGGGAAACAGGAGAGTCTAAATTCGGCACTCTTTTTAGGCGGTTTGAGTACCTGTGTTTGTTGTTCTTCGAATTCCTCCTGAGGGTCAGTCTAGAATTCTCAATGAGTCTCCACAAATCTTTAAAGCTGTTACGGTCGAATGGACTCTATTTTGGGCGGTTATTATGCCCAAAATGAAGGCGATCGAGAACGCAAAAATTATGCTTCCCCTCATTTTCGAATGTCGCTTTACATTGGTACTGTACATTCGTGGATTTCTCCTGACGGGAGATGTAGATGTAGGTCAGCATAAACAAATTATAGCAAATGGTGGGACCTGACCGTCTAAAGCCCATTTGCATGTCCAAATTTGTCGCCCTTTAGGCAAACCAGAGGTCAAAACACCTTTACTATGAATGGTTGCGTTTAGAATTTGGGTCGAATCTCGAATCTATCAAGGTAGTCAACTCAGAGTTAAAGCACTCATCAAGGATTTTCAGTGGATATCAAAAGCGGAGAGATTGCCCTCCTTACCTCCAATTTTGTCGAACTGAAAGTTGTCGACATTCTTTTGCAGTGAGCATGTGACATTTGAATATCAAAGCGGCTGAGCTGATTTGTGAAGTGGAATAGGAACATTCCGTGCTCATGTTGTTGTGGTTGTTCTTTGGACTTCACTGAATGAGATCGCTTATTAACTGCCTGTAAGCACGTACCACATATTTTACTTTTGATTTGTTAGAATGAAAAGTCGTGACCTTTGAGCTCACCCGCCCTTCCTGAAGACACTACAAGACGTGCAAAAATGTCATGAATGGGTACCATGACATCAATGTAGTCCTGCAAGCCTGCTGGTGCTGGGGGGCTAGAAAAGTGCGGTCATGATTTGAGCAGACTTATGCGCTCCTAGCCTAAAGGACGCATCATAGCAGAATCAAAACATCGGCGGATCGTCACGCCAGTTTAGAGTAAGCTTAGTCCTTCTTCAGGAGTTGTCTCTGGTACTGCTGCACTATCCACCGCAGAGCCAATCGGGTACATCGAAACCATCTGTCCGCGAGACGGAAAGGGTGATGATCTGGTTACTTGCGTCCCAGGGATGAAGACAGCCTTCATCATACCAATATGTGCTGAAGGCCAGCGCCTTCCATAGGAACGTCCACCATAAGGTAGTAAAGTTTCTGGGCTTTTGTTCTACCCGGCTTCATTCCATCTTTTTGCCTCTTCTTGGAAACTCTGCTGCTGTTTGGGGTCCAAACGCCGAGCTAATGTTTTGCATTTAATTCTACCTGAATGTGCCATCTCATGGCACGTTTTTTCTCGTCTATCAAATGTAATTTTTGTATAATCTCCTCCATAAATCACACCAAGAGATTCCAAAGCAAGGATCTTAATAATTAAGGTGCTGAATTTTTTGTTTCCTTTGGCTATTTTGGAGGAAATTTGTGATGAAGTCATGATCTGGCCTCTGATGTGTCGATTTTTGAGCTTCGACTACTTAGCCTGATGGGATTTTTCAAATTACCCTCACTGTTTACTCCTTCTGTTTAATCGTCTTTCAAACTCTCATTTACTTTAGACAGAAATTGTCTGTTCATTGTTCTATAAGGGGACCCAAAAATCAAGGCGAAAATGGACATTCCTTCGCCAACGAATTCCAACGCAATACCTTTTATAAACCGCTTTTTCTGACCTTTTAAATGTCGTTATTCTTTTCAAAAAATTCGCTTAAGTACATGAAGATTGCAGTCGAGGTAGCGTAGGAAGTTAGGGGTGATAAGTTTTGACTGACTTGAATAGACGTCGAATTGTGAACGGTCTCGCCATTGAGGGCCTACACCATCGTCTCTAATTTAACTCTCTTTCCTGAGAGAAGTTCGTCTAGAGGATGCACTTCCACGGTCACATCGCATTAGATTTCGTTCGATGTATATTGGAGTGCGTTTGACATCGATGGTGCAAAGTTCTGCCACCCTGGCTTTGGACTTTGCCTAAAGCCTACCGCTTTTGAATTGCTTCACCGCCACCTATTACTGCTTTTAAGCTATTTCATCCACACCATGTCTTAAATTACCCCTGCCGTCATTCTGGCTACAATTTATTTTAGTAGATTTAAATTGACAGACCGTGATTTGACAAGTCAGATCCACCCAAAGCAGCCGGGTAGGTGACCAAATTCGATCCTTGGACCTGTTGTTGTTGTTGTTGTCGTCGTCAATCGGTTGGTGTGTTGTTCTTGCTACGGCCATGACGGGGTGAAAGGTCATTGTGCTGGTACATGCACAAAGTTACGGAAATGCCAATCGTTTCGACAGATGGTCGCAAAAATGACAATCATGAAGTTGGACTTTGAGCTAGTGAAAGCAAAGGGTCCTTCATTCCGCCTTTCCAAGAAGTGGAATCAAATTCTGTTTATATCCGGAGGTACATTCAAGTCCAGCTTTGCAACCATGCGCCTATTATTGTCAGCATGTGCTTGTTCTTTTCAAGGAAGCAGCTTCTTACCATCTTTTGTCCTTTACTCGAGTAGTAGTAATCTTTTCTCTGACCGAATTCCCATTTCCACCACTAAGTAGTGGTCTATGCTTTTGGTAGCTGCTGGGGTGGTGACGTCTCTATGACCTCCTCCATCTTACTCTATCACGACAAGCGTGCAATTAAGGTACCCATGCTGACTTTTGTTGTTATAAATCGGAGAGGTGAGCCTTATTCCCTAAGTTTGCGAATACCCACGTCCCTTCTCCTTGCAGGTTCATCTACGAGACGGAGCGGCACAATGGCATCTCGGAGATGCTTGAAATTCTTGGCAGGTGAGTTTGATTTTTCAAAAATAATTTCTGCCATCTATTTGGCGATTCTGTTAGAGTCACTACCTTGAATTTACCAGAGATTTACTTTGCTTTTAAATTATGGTATATAACGGTGATTTGGATTAGTTGGAGAATCCAGAATTCGTCTTTTGAAGGCTAGTATATTTCAACGGGGTACTTCGGTTACTCCGCCTTCTCCAGTGTGTGAGGATCTGTTGTGCCCCTTTGTGCTTCACAAAATACAATCTTTTTGGGAGGAATGTCGGTGCTCGAAGGTACAAATTGCAAATGATATTTGTTTCGTTTTCCTTTAATTAATTACTGTTATCTTTTAATTGCTTCCAGTGGGAGCAGACTGAGGCATAAAAGGTTTTGGCCCACCTTTCCTTCATAAGCTAATCCACTGGAGTAGCAAGTCTATTTCTTCACGTCAGGCACCTGAGACTAAACTAAGGGATTGGGACAAGTTCCCACGTACTATTGGTGGGATAGGAATTGATGGACTTCTTTATTGTTACTTGCCGCTTCAATGTCTTAGACGTCGCTGTTTTACAGTGGATCGTTGGGCCTCGAGCTGTAAAATGAATGGCTAAAGCTAGTATGCAAATGGACGGCGGTTGGGCAAGGTAGGGACTTTCACGAAAAGCGCTGACACCAAACATACCATCTATCCTACCTGCCTTCAAGGGACGGTGGTTCCTTTGGTGCAAAGCACGTTACTGTTGAATTTGGGCTTCCACTGCCCCCGACTTCCCTTATCGATTGGGAAATTAAGTAGCTCTCACTTCCGATTGTCTACTCAGTGTGGTTTAAAAGCATCACGAAGTGAAGAGGCAAGGACCTCTGTTCCGCGTTTTGGTGATTTATGATAAGGGGCGTTTCCTTTCCGGATTGAATGTTATTTGAGCTTTGAATGTCAGTTACACGTGCTTCAACTTACAGTGCCATAACTTGCCGTCGTCAGCATGTCACCCTCCGTTCTCAACCATCTCATGAATGGTTCCATAGAAACCGATTTTTTTTCGATCCGAACTCTCTTGTCTCCACCGTGTTTATCATTTCGAGTCATGTGACAGCAGTTTTATTGAAGCACGCTTCTCGTTCTGTTCTGCTTATGAGTGTGTGCAACTCCAACTAGTAGAATATGAATTGAGGTAATATGGAAAATTATTTTACTAACCCTATTTCCACAAAATTTGTAGATGATTGGGCTCGCAGTCATTATGTACTAACTGATAATTTGCTGTCACTTTCTGGTCCCCCTTCCGTTGTCATCTTGTACTACCAGTGAAGTATTGCTTTTTGCAATTTACAGCTTCAAATTAATACTGGTTTTAGGTAGTCATGATTTTTTTCAACAGTTTTGGATATGGGCTCGTATTTTGGGTAAGCCTTCATTCAATGGCAGGACGTCAGTAATGCATACCTCAGGTCGCGTCGAGCCTTCCCATTGCGGTCATGACTGGCTAGTTTACGAACCTCTTACTTAAAGCTCAACCAACAATTGAATCTTCACCCGTCACACGTATCTGATCCATCTTTTAAACCTTGATCACGGGTGATTTCAGGTCGTGCTGTGACCTTTCAGCTTTTTCGGTTGGGTGTGCCGAATTTCAGGTCTGCATTTGATAAGTTTGCTGTGGCTATCTCTCTCAAACATGGATCCCCGCTTCATATTCTTTCCTTATTTATCGCTTGATAAAATTACTTATCGGGGGCTTTTTGGATCGAATCGACCTCGGTCTCGAGGTTTCCACAGATTGGTTTTTTTGGTCGTCTTCTTGCGGCCAACCGACTGGCCCTTTTTTCCTTCCGTCTGGTGACTGACATAGTTTGTGAGGTTTTGTGTGTCTAGCTTTTTACATGGCTCTCTTGGAGCCCGTAGGGATATGCGTCATTCCAGCGGTACAGCGCTCTCAACTGTGTCCTCCACTGTTTTCGTCTTATCGTTGAAATGTCGGGTGAACGTGGTGGATGGTTTCCGGGGTTGTCTGGCTTACCAGCCGAATTTGACCATTTTCCAAAGGTGTAGAAGCTTCTCGTTGAGTTTGCTATGCAGCATTTGGAGAAAGTGCGATAACAGAACATGCCACATTCAGGAAGACCCTCTACCCACAATCATGTGGACAGCTATATTGCTATTGGCTGGAATGGCTCCAATTCAATGTTCCACTAACAGTTTTTTTTTCGACGTCGGTTTACGTCTGCATCAAGTGGCCAAGTCGTGGAGGCAATTGAGAGACAAAAGTGAGGTGGTGGCAGAGGCGATCAGGACTCGGCTGTTTGTTCCTAGGGCTAAAAGGCTTTACAAAAGAATAGCTTGCCTCTAGCTTGTGTGTCTTTGGAAACGATAAACTGTAATGGCGATTGTTTCAACGAATTATAGAGGCTTGAAGATCACTTTTGCAGTTATTCAGCTTTTTTGCTGTCCTACCCAAGCAATACCAATTAGAAACTCCCACGTGCTGCTAGAACTTCTGTCGCTTGATTCGAAGAAGTTCCATAAGGCCGTTGATCTGTCGCTGAGAGAATGCCCGCCTATGCGTAGATTGTGTTTGGGTGTTAATGTCTACCGCAACCCATAATACCCGTTCTGATCCCACCGAGTGAAAGTATTTTACAACGAGATCAACAGAATTGCCCAGGTTTTGTGGATGGACATGCGTTTTGCGACCAGTTGAAAATCTGGGGTGTCACGTGTAAGCATATCGTGTCTGAATGTGCTTCTTTTCTTCTTCCCCATGCCTGCAGCATTATCAATGGCTTTGCGGTGCCACTGAAGGCGGAGCACAAGACCTACCTGATGCGGGTGCTCATTCCCTTACACAAGGTCAAATCGCTCAGTGTCTATCACGCTCAATTGGCCTATTGTGTGGTGCAGTACCTTGACAAGGACCCCACCCTCACTGAACCGGTAAGTTTCATTTTCCTTGCCTCCTGGCTTCTCTGTAATCGCTGACCTTTGGCTTAAATCACTTTTCTAGTTTGTGATTGAGTTGATTTTGGCGTCCGTAGTTAGGTCTGGATAGGTGTGACTGCCCCTTTCTTTTCACCTGTTCGTCCTCCTGCCAAAAATGTGTGTTTCGTGAACATCAGTATACAAATGGTCTAGTAGCCATACTTTTCACCTTGAATTCACGATGGATACTATTATAGACTTGTTATACGAAGTATCTGTGGTTGTACAGGAAACTTAAACCAGGAGCTTGGAGTGTTCTTGGGAGCAAGAAAGCTCATCCAAAAGTTTATTTTAATCTTCCAAAATTTACCTGAAGCCAAGATTGCTGCAATCGTATCTGTGAATCAGTCAAATGGAAGTGTCGGCACATTACGAAACTTTTCTCATGTTTTCCAACCTCTTTTTCGCCACCACGAGTCGTTTTAATTCACCAATTATCATAACAACGAAGGCAAATGTGGGACGAGGCGATCCCTCTCATTCCTGATCCCAGGTTTGGTTGACAGTAACGTTAAAGCGGACCTCCGTTGTCCTTCAAATAGACATGTTCCAGTCGCCATCAAAACCATGTCCTTTCATGTTCCCTTTCTTGATCTTAACGTGCTTGCTCTCGAGTTCAGGGGCTTCTAAACCTCTTTGTTCAAACAAAGACTTATTCATATGGCTTCACAATAAGAAATCCTTTTAAGGATACTGATCTGTTTATTCAGGACTTTTGTACTCAGTTCCAAACAGACATTACTACCCTCTCCCATTCAAAGAGGGCATGAACTTTGAAGAGTGGCTCAAAATCACCAAATTTAAGCTTTGTCTCTATCACTGACGCCAAAGAATACTGTACATCCCTCATGCCCTCCTCCTCAAGATCTGTTTTCAGCTGCAACAGACGCCGGCGTCACTCCTGACACCGACCTAAAACAGTGTTGCAACACCTTATCCCAGCTCGTTATTGACCATAAGGACCAGGTCCTAGCTAGACTTCTATCGTTGCAAAAAAAAGTGATCAAAAATTAGTAGGAGTACGCTAAAAATCTTCAAAATCTAACAGGATGAGCTTTTCGTGGCTCACCCCAAACACGGTTGCTGAATGAACAACCGTCCAGTGCAGGCACATAGTTTGATCACACATTGTGGTCGAGAAGCTCTGCAGCATAAAGACCAACTCCCTCAGCCAGTTGGAGAGGTTCGCAACCAGGAAGCGCCAGAAACTTTATGCTATCCCGCATTACCACATGCCCAACAGACGGTCCTTTGTCCTCTATGGGCTTATTGCTCATTCTACTCTCCTTTTCTTATTCCATGATTTCGCCATTTGGAATTGCGGCGTTTGATATCTTCTTTGCTCGTGTTTTGCATCTTTTGTTGACTTTTTTGCACATTCCCGATGGAAATCTGACCGATACAGCGCCTCTCTGATGAGTGATTTTGGCTTAATCCAGCATCTAAAATAGACATCATCCACTCCACTCTGACATGATCTTCTTTTTGCACCCAGGTTAATCGACTACAGTGGATGAACGGGTAGACGTTTAGCTAGTTGCTCTAATTAATCAAGCAAATCTTGAGTCATTGTTAGATTTTGATCGTGGGTCACAAAAACGGACCAGTGGGTGGATTTGAAAAGCCATTCACAATCGTTAAAGAAAAAACTAGATGTGCGTGTACTGTTTGACTACCAACGCTACATCGCTTCCGATTAGGAATGCAATCACTCGAACTGCATTTTGATCTAACGCGAGTGGATAATATTGTAGTGCCCCCTAATCATCATCAAAAATGCAGTGAAGTATATCAGAAGGTCTAGGAGGTCATTACACCAAGGTATTGACTAAATCACCGGAGAGTGAGAAGCCCAGCTTATTAAGCCTTGACCC